AAAGTTTTTACTCTGACCTTATGGCATTTTTTGTTGACTATTAGGAATGTAAACCAACTTGAAGGATATAAACTTTTATGTTTGGAGATATAAGTTCATAGAACTTTTGGAGAAATGATAGTTCAACAGTGTTTAAGAAGAATTTTGAAGTTAGCAAATGGTAAAGAAAAAAGGAATTCAATAGGACCTAAATTGACTGAGACCTTGCAAACAATTTACAACAGAACCTCTTACTTAGACAGCTTAAAGTTCCAGTGATGCCACCCACTGTCTTTCTGACCCCATTTTCTGTCTGAATAAATTAAATTCCAGATGGATACTAGATATGTGTTCTTGACTACTGTCAAAGAAAATGAGCTTTGTTTAGTTAATGTCAGATAGGACATGATTGGTATAGGTTTTGGAACATGTTTTTTTCAGGTTGCATCTGGAGGTGGTGGGGTTGGAGATGCTGTTCAAGAACCAACAACAGGTAACTGGAGAGGAATGCTGAAAACTTCAAAAGCTGAAGAGTTACTAGCTGAAGAAAAATCAAAACCAATTCCAATTATGCCAGCCAGTCCACAAAAAGGCCATGCTGTGAATCTGCTAGATGTGGTAAGCTACGAGAATTTGGCATAGGTCTAATTAGACTACCGAATTAGTAGGAAAACACTTCCAAAGATAAAAGGAACTAAAAGTCTCAAAAACTTAACTTTTGAATGTTAAGTGTTGCCATTTCAAAATGGCACCAAGGTAATATTTTTCCTCCCCATTCCACTTAGCCGGTTCCTGTTGCACGAAAACTATCTGCCCGGGAACAGCGAGATTGTGAGGTTATTGAACGACTCATCAAATCATATTTTCTCATTGTCAGAAAGAATATTCAAGACAGGTTAGTATTATTTAATATAAATCACAGACTATAATACTGCTGGATGATTCCATGAACTCTTTTGAAAATACATGTCTTTTAAAAATTTTAGGTTTTTATTCAATAGAATGGATTCTGTTAGCCTTTGGGTATCTGTCACAGCAAGTCTCGGTTTGTTAACATACAATGACAAGGACCTGATGTGTTATAATACTTTCTAAAACTTTGGCTGCCACATTTTCAGACACTTAAGAAAATTTTCTTCTAAATTTGTGGTTTCATTAATTATTTTGGCTGATAACACCTTTTTAATTATTTGATTTGGTTCTCCAAAGTATGAAAATAAATGTCTCACTGGGCAATGCATGTATTGGTTTATTGTAATTCAGAGTGGTTTTTTCATGTGTCTACTGCCTCATGTTTCTTTTCTTCATGTTGCCTGTGATGTCATTTCATGCAGTAATAGGGAGAATAAAAATTTAGTTGTATAAAGTGATCTAATTCTATTAGAAAATATTCTGTATCTAATTTGTGGTAATCTGTTAGCAGGTAAAAGAAATTTTACTGCACAAAGGGATAAAAAGATAGTCTAATTTACTTCATAATGAAATCAGCAATTTTATCTGTAGAATGTTTTAACTTGTACCTTGTGATAGAAATAATCTAAGATATAAATTCATATATATGAATCAAACCAAAGTCCACCCCTTTTAAAATAGTGTATGTTTATCACAATGTTGTGCAACCATTATCCAATTCTGTAACATTTGCATTACCCCATAAAGAATCCCTGTACCATCTGCGGTGACCTCCCTTTTTACCCTTCCTGTCATTCCTGGCAGTCACCAACCTACAGTCTCTATGGGTTTGCCTATTCTGGACATTTCATATAAGTGGGATCATACTAATATGTGGCCTTTTGTGTCTGGCTTCCTTCACTTATCATGTTTTAAGCTTCATCCATATTATAGCATGAATCAGTATAGTCATGTGCTCTACAAAACAATGATTCAGTCAACAGTGAACAACATACATGACAGTGGCCCCATACCATCTTTTCTGTGTTCACATACACAAATACTTAGCATTGTGTTACGGTTGCCTACAGTATTTGGTACAGAAACATGCTGTATAGGTTTGTGTAAGTACTCTATGATCCTACAAAGACAAAATGGCCTAACATATGTCTCAGAATGTGACTACATAGATATATAATATTCTGTTTATCCAATCATTAGTTGATTGATTGAAAGATGTTTGGGTTTTCCCCACTTTTTGAATAATGCTCATTGCAGAGTTCTGACAATAAGGGATAATGATAGATAAGATAAAAGAAGGCAAAATATCAACTGTGGCTTCTAATGTTTGATTATAATTAAGGAAAAAATCTGAAGGGTGATTATCCCATTAAGGAAATATCCAAATTAGTACAGTATTCTTAATTAACTTTTATCATTTTATAAGGTTAGCATCTAAGCCCAAATTTTTAGAAGTAGAATTTTTGCCAAAATTTCATAATTTGGTTTTGTTTTGCAGTGTGCCAAAGGCAGTAATGCATTTTTTGGTTAATCATGTGAAAGATACTCTTCAGAGTGAGCTAGTAGGACAACTGTATAAATCATCCTTATTGGATGATCTTCTGACTGAATCTGAGGACATGGCACAGCGTAGGAAAGAAGCAGCTGATATGCTAAAGGTAATATTAGGAATTTTTATATTCACCCAACAGTTTAAAATGCATTCTGATCCTTGGAGACATATAGTCTTTATATTATAGTGAAGTTTTTCTCCTGGTGGTACTTGATTGGTTTCAAATTCTAGAGATGTTAGCTAGTATATACCACATGTAAATGGGAGAAATTACCCTACATAAGTCAGATTAATATAACTTAATAAGCATTAAGATCTTTTTTTTTTATTTCAGCATATTATGGGGGTACAGATGTTTAGGTTATGTATGTTGCCCTTGCCCCCCCAGCATTAAGATTTTTTATTTCTTTTAATACAGGCATTACAAGGAGCCGGTCAAATTATTGCCGAAATCCGAGAGACTCATCTTTGGTGATGAGAACTATATGATACTGAGACTTTGTTGACTTGAAACTTGCTAGTTACTGCCCACTTTATTTCAGCATATTATGGGGGTACAGATGTTTAGGTTATGTATGTTGCCCTTGCCCCCCCAGCATTAAGATTTTTTCTTTCTTTTAATACAGGCATTACAAGGAGCCGGTCAAATTATTGCCGAAATCCGAGAGACTCATCTTTGGTGATGAGAACTATATGATACTGAGACTTTGTTGACTTGAAACTTGCTAGTTACTGCCCACTTGAGTAGAATTTTATTTATGAACTCCTGTGTATTGCAATGGTATGAATCTGCTCATGTAAAGAGTGGCTATAAACTTAAAAGTGTACTCTGTATTGCAGAACAAATCACATTTAATCCAAATAATAAATGGCCATTTCTAAAGTTTCCCAGTATATATAAAATATATCAAGTCTGTCTTGTGACAGTTTCTAAAAAGAACTGTTAATATTCTAGTTGTACAAAGCAATCTGCCTGTGTATAAGATGCCCTGTGTAATCTTCATTAGTAGTTTTAAACTGCTGCCATAGTCCTTCAAGAAGAAAGCACCAAGACAACATTTCATATGACTATAACGCATGTACGACGTAGACTGACCTTCCTGTAAAAGACGCGGGTTGGCAAGTTCCTCACATACAGTCACTGTATTCCACCTGTCCTTCAATTTAGTTTTTTTTCTCTGCGGTTCTCTGCAGCCCATGATGTTATTAAGAAAGCCGTAATGCTCAAGAGGATCTGAAACACTGACATAGATGCAGTGTGCATACTGTGTAGTTACACAGCTCTTCCACTTCTGGGTCCACGTTGCCCTAGTGCATTAAAATTTAAAATAAACCTGAAAGCATGAATTAGAATTTCCTGCATTAAAAACAATTAGACTCAATTATCTAGTAAGACTTGGTAATGATGACCAGTTTCTTTTAGTTTTAGAAGATCCAATGGTGACCTAAATTCCCTTTAATTTGCAAATACAGTAGTAGTTAATTAAGACACCTCTCTAAAATGGGGCACTTACACCAGGCTCCCAGATTCACTTTGAGGTGGGACTTAGACCACTCTACTCTCTGTATTAGTTGGCAATAGCTACTTTTCCTTCATACCAAAATACATGAAAATACTGGTAGAGGTTTGTTCCTTAAAAACATTTGAGTACACACACTCCTAAAGGCTTATAGGCTTAAATTGCATTCAGGGGGTGGAGGTGACATTTAAAACGTATACATATTTTACTAAAATTCCCTACATGATTCTTGGTATGAACTACTACATTATAAATTTTAAGATATGAGTAGAAATCCCAAAGACATCTAGTTCTATCTCGCAGATGATACATTAAGTACATGTTACACATATTAAAATTTCTTTTCAGGTTATGAGCAGATATTTATGAAGGACTACTGGCAGGGAAATACGAGTACGTTAACTTCAGCTTACAGCACACATTTACTAAGAAACAACAGGCTCAGCAATGATCTCAAACATAAAAATCCCTAAATTAGTCTGATACGTGGTACTACTTTGAATCTGTTAATACCAGTTTGACAGAATACATGCTATCAAAATGTTGGCACATTTAAAAATTATTCTGTCATTATGCATCAGTTTTGAAATTATAGCCGTCCATAATATACTTTTTCCAGATAGTGTATCAGATGACTGACTACCCTTCTAGCCTTTTGAATTTGTAAGGAAGAAAAAACTTATGCTGCACCTTTCTCCAGCACATCAAACATTTCAAATTGAAAATGTTAGTTTTAAAGACATGCTATGGTAATGCACTTGCTAGTACTACACACTTGGTACAAAGAAAAACAGAAGTAAGAATCTTAAAATGGAAAGAAAAAAGCAGTTCCTTTGTTGGCCCTTACACCGAGTGAAGTTCTGAAATGTAGAGATGATCTCTGACATTTATAATAGACACCTGCATGTTCTTGCTGTATAAATAAAATTGCTGGTATGAAATGACATTAAAGTTTGTCAATAAATTAATTCTTCCTAACTTTTCTCCAAGAGAAAGGTTTAGATAAACTATATAGCTTTTTAACATCTAAATCTACTTTGGAACAATACAGCTTATAGTGTCCAAAAAGTTATATGACTTTTTTCCTATTGGATCCTCAAAATTGAATGAGGTATTATTACATCTCCATTTTTGCATATAAAAAGATTACTTGCTCCAAGTAATCCAGGTAGTAAATGGCTAAAATTTGAACACTAAAGCCATGCTCTGCTGCCTGTAAGGTTTTCAGAAAAAATGATTAACTATTTTGTGTGTGATTTACTTGATCTTCAGGGAAATGGGGGTGCCATTACCTTGGTTTTTCAGATGTGGAAACAGTTCTGGAGAATTAACTTGCCTAATGTTTGTGCAGCTGAATTCAGTCTTGATTCTAAATCCTTTAAGTTTTGACCTGAAAACTTTCCTTAACCTGGGTACCTTTTGATATTTTCACGATTCAATATTTGGTGTAATATTTGCCTCTTTTATTTCTTTGGTTACTTAGTTTTTCAGTTACTTAAGTTGCAGTCTACTTAGTGGCAGAAATTGAAAGTTAAAGCTAATTTAAAAGTTTCTAAATTTATAAAATATTGCTACCTTAGGAATTCACTGAAAAAACAAGGCTGTGAGTAAACTGAATTATAGTGGAACACAGGCATAGGACTAGAAAAACTGCCTGGAAAGTCAAGTACTGATTTTTGTTCTTCTTTTCTTAGAAAAAAACTTTCTGACTGTAATTTCTAATGCCGACTATGGCCCCATCTAACTTTTGTCCTTTATTCCTAAAACAACAAAAACAATGAGAAATTTGCAAGTTTCTGGTACTGGTTTTTCCCATTTCTAATGTGGACACTAGAGGCATTGCTTGTTTTATAATGACTGCGTAACACTGGTGAGATCCATGCTCCTTACCTGATGTAAAAACAGCCACAATTCCTTACTTACACTACCTGCTTTTATCTGCCAAATGGAGAGCAAGAAGGGCAGGGATAGGTAAGACAGCATTTATTTCTTTCATGAAATATAATATTTTATAAAAAAGAGATTAACCCTGGAAATCATGGTTTTCTATGGTAGTCTTTAATGTTTGTGGATCAGAAATAAAATATCCCATCACTAAACAGACACCTTATTTATTAACCAACCCATAAAAATAATGAAATTACTCACACTTGAGGCCTAGTGTATACTCCACTGTTTTTCTGATTTGCATAAGCGAAGGTGTAAGTTCTGGAGCCAACCTTTCATGTCTTGATAATGAATGATGGATAAATTTGTTTGAACCAGAAGGAGTTTTCATCATAACTGAAGCCATTTTATAATGTAAAAATTCCTTTTTCCTATTTTAAGTAAAGAAAGTCCATTCTTGAGAATATGTTGTCCAACAACTAAAACACTCTCAGGATTTGTTACTTGTCTGTGATTTATACTGACTCCACCTTCTGTTATCATTCGATACCTAAAAATAGAAATGTTTAGTAACTAGAGTGATCCAGTCACTGTTGACCTCTCCTCCAAAAAGATTATTTCCCTTAAATTTCAGAGGCTCTCCAATTAAGACCATTTAGTATAGAATTGTTCCCTTCAAGCTTAATTACTCTAGTAGATTGTGCCTCCTTTAAATGCTCTTCAAAAGGAGCAGATGTAAGGCATAATGGTAATGGTAGGTTTCTTGGGTAGTGGAGAAAAAGAGCTGGCTATCTCACAGCTCTTGCTATTAATAGAACTATTTGGTTGGCAGTAGTTTTTAAAATGAAGTGAATAGGGAATAATGGAGGTACTTTCTGGAATGTTCCCCAGAAAAAAAGTCACAGAAAAGAAACTTCCAAAAATGGAAGAACAATGTTGCTTTTAGTAAGGTACCCATGAGACAAGTCACAACTACAGCATTATCTACAGAAATCTTTAGGAAATTGGAAAATCTGTGCAAATTATATTCTGAGACTATGCAAATAATAGGAAATTGTTTGTTAGACTAAAATGAAGAAAATTTTTCTTTTTCTCCCCCAAGACAGGGTCTCACTCTATGGCTCAGGCTGGAGTGCAGTGGCTTGATTATAGCTTACTGCATCCTCGAACTCCTGAGCTCGAATGATTCTCCTGCCCTAGCCTCCTGAGTAGCTAGGACTTACAGGTGTGCACTACCATGCTTGGATAATTTTTCTTATTTGTTCTAGAGATGAGGGTCTTGCTATGTTGCCCAGGCTGGTCTCAATTGATCCTCCTGCCTCATCCTCCCAAAGTGTTGGGATTACAGGTGTAAGCCACTATGCCCAGCAAAAGAAAAATTTTCTTAAAAATGAAATTAGTTGATTTCAGAAAATCAGTAGCTGATCTCATAAATTCTAGATTAGTCTACATTATTCAAGAACAGAAAATCTTTCCTTTATGAAGCATTATTTTAGTCTGTTTGCTACAGTTTGCAGATCATGTTCTGTTTTGTTTAAACGCACAGACCCAACCCTATTTAGTTTATACAATATAAAAAAAACAATCAGTATTACTTAGAACCCAGGCTAAATCAGATGTGGTGTCATCGTAAGTAGTGGTAAAACTTCCAGTATCAGCAAATACACTATAAGAAAGTTCAAAAGAAAATGAAAATTGCTTCCACTGTGAGGAAGATCCTTAGAATCAGTGACTCACCATAGGGAAGTTATATGACACCAGTCTCAAATTCAGTGTACATTAAATAAACCGGCATAGTAGGGAATCAATAAGGTGGACTGGCAGGTGATGCAAAGGGAGACAATGGGTCCTTCCTCCATATCGAGTAATTTAGGGCTCTTTGGGATAGAGGCAAATAATCCAAAACAATTGAAAGAGAACAGCAACTATAACAAATGTCATTCATAATCATGGCCATGGGCTGATAACTTTGACTTATGCTAGAACTCCTGTAGATGACGTAGCCAGGGACTTCTGGCTAACTAAAGCTTTTCCTTCTACATCTCACTGCTTGTTTAAAATGGATAAGAACCAATCATATGTCCAATTACTTTTTGTGGAACATCTTATTTATTCCCTAATAATACCACATAACTGAAGAATT